AATAACAGCCAGGCATTCTCGTTCAGTGGCGGAATAATTTTGCTCTTGCTTGCTTAGAGTCCGACTAGCATAAGCTACCACAACCTCTCCGGTCTCAGTCTCTTGGCTCAAAACAGCGCCCACGCCCACTGCAGAGGCATCACAGGATATGACAAAGGGCTTAGTAAAATCAGGACAAGACAAAATCGGTGATGTGACTAGACAAGATCTGATGTCCAAGAAGGCACTCTGGGCCGCCTCGGTCCAAACAAATTTAGCTCGCTTCTTCAGTAGCGAAGTGAGGGGATAAAGACGGGAAGCGAAATCTGGGATAAACCGCCTATACCAAGAGGCAGTACCACAGAACTGGCGTACCTCCTTTTGGTTCTTGGGCACTGGTAGGTCAATGATGGCCTTTACTTTCTCTGGGTCCACCCTAAGACCCTTTTCGCTGACTACATATCCAAGATATTTAAGCTCTGGGCGGCAGAATTGGCACTTTTCCTTGTTCAACGTAACCTTTGCCTCTCGGATTCTCTTCAAAATTTCAGACAAAACCTCAATGTGTTTCTCAAAAGTAGGGGTGATAGCAATTATATCATCTAGATACACAAAACAATATGGTTCTAAGTCCGCACCTAGGACATTATCAACAAACCTTTGCCAGGTTGCAGGGGCATTACTCAGTCCCATTGGCATAGTAACAAAATGGAATAGGCCGCGACCAGGAACCGTGAAAGCTGTTTTTTCTCGACTGGAGTTGTCTAAGGGAATCTGCCAGAACGCACTCTTAATGTCTAAGCTAGATAGGTAGCGAGCATCACGTAACCTGTCCAAAATAGTCGTTACTTGTGGAAGAGGATAAGCATCCTTCTTTGAGACGGAATTCAATTTTTTGAAATTCACACAAACTCTTTTAGACCCATCTGGTTTATCAACTAGCAAAATTGGGGATGACCAGTCGCTGTTTGATGGTTCTACCACACCCAATTGCAGCATCTTGTCCAACTCATCACTGACCATCTTTTGGCGGGCGGGTGACATTGGATAGTATCTTTGTTTCACCGCAGGTGCATCTCCTGTGTTGATAGTGTGAAACACCTTGTCAGTTCTCCCTAATGCTGGTTGAGGCACACTGAAATACTGGTCGATTAACTTGTTCAGCTGAGTTTTTTGATCTGGAGAAAGATGATCTTCACCCTGAATCCCACTACTAACTGAGCTACAATAAGATGTTGACATAACATTTGAAAATTCCCATCTTCTATGATGAAGATCTGCTACTATATGGAACTTCTCCCAGAAATCTATTCCCAAAAGTAAATTATGGCTAAGGGTAGGCACATAGAATACATCCAGGTACTTGGTCTGTCCTTTGAGTGTAATTGGTAGAACTACTATTCCAGCTATAGCATGCTTCTTCGAATCTGCAGTTTCTACAAAGGTATTATTAGCAACATGAAGTTTTCCTGGAAAACCATTAAAAATCCAATCTCCATCTTTACCTAAAATGGTGCGAGATGCACCAGAATCTAACAGAGCACGTATTTTGCGACCAAAAACTCTGACATCTAAATATGGTCGAGAATCACCCCCTACAGATTCAATAACAAAGTCAACCCTAGCTGGCTTGGAACAAGTATCCTTGGTTGGCACTGCCTTATCATTGTTTGGGGAGACAGCGTTTATTTGAGAGCTGGCTCCCCGACTCGGGCGTTTTTTGGACTGCAAAAGGTACACACTGTCTTTTTGACATTTTTAGCCCCGCAGCCATAACAAAACACAGTTCTAGGTTTACTACAGCTATGTTGATTATGTCCTTCTTCAGAACAATTCCAACATTTCATTTTTGAAAACTTCTGTGGATTTCTTGGGTGGGATACTTCTGCTACTCGTTGTTTGACTACTGTGGACTTCCTATATGCAAGATCAGGCTCTAGTATTGAAGCGGAGCTAGACATGGACTGACTGTTGGCTGCCCTAAGACGACCTAACTCTGCTTTCCTTCCCAGGGTTCTCAGTTGGCTTATAGAGACTATTGGGAATAAACACAACTTTTCTTGAAGATAGCGATTAAGATTTTTAAGCATTTGCTTCAAACGAATCTCTTCTCCCGTAGGCATGGATAAGCGGCTGTAGAGTCCTTCCATTGAAGCGATGTACAAGTCGATTGTTTCTTGGTCCCCTTGTCTGCGATTCATAATTTCTTGTGATAACATGTCATCATAGTCCGGGGTTTGGAAGACCTCTTTCATCTCCTGACAAAGCTCTGCCCAACTTGTGATTCTTCCCACTGTAGATCTGTACCAAATCAAGGCACTCCCAGAAAATAAATCCACTGCCGACTTAAACAGTTGTACTTCAGTCAGCCCCCTGGCTCGACGTAGTTCTTCAACACGCTGCAAGAAGCTACCAATACTCTGGCCGGAACTGTTGGAAAACTGAAGGCCCCATTTATAGACAGGAACGAATCCAGTTTTATACAAATTACAACTGTCTTCTTCACTAGAGTTATTCTTTCCCTTATCTAAATTTGAAGTCAAGGATCCAATCTTTTTGTCAAAAGTGAACTGCTCCCGAGAACCTAAATTATGAGGCGAACTCCCTGTCGGAGGTTTGAGATTGTTTCCTTCATTTATTCCCAAACTTGTCTTCAATTCCATCTCATTTAGGACCACAGGACCATCTGGTTTGTTCAACTCGGTTTCATTAGAGTTCCCACCTAGTGCAGCTGTTGGATCAGGCCCTTTGAATTCATCTATAAGTTTCCTAGTCCGAGCCATTAAATCTGTTTTAATTTCTTCCTTATCTGAGTCCACTGAAGCAGCCAAAGGAATCCTCTCAACTCTGGAGTACAAGTGCCAGAGTCTAGCAACAATTCTTTGATACTCATTATCCTTAAAAGTCCCCTCATAATTTTCAACAAGTGACGACAAATCTTGTAATTTCTCGTTGCAAATCTCAAATTCCAACTCGGCATCCAGAGAATTGACACAAGCCGCCACCACTTCTGTATTTGATCTAAAGCAGTGTGACAGTTTTTTCCTGTTGTCTGCAGCCTTACCCTCTGTTGAGACATTCCTAATCCTTAGCTCATATTCTACTTCCGTTGCTCTTAAATGATAAGCAGTCATGTTGATAGCTGACACAAGATTAAACAATGAGACTCCAATGCTCATTCGCCACCAAATTAAACTAAGGCTAAATATTCCATTCAGAACCACAAAATGTTTCCCTGTTGCTTCTGTTGTCCCAAATCAACAATTAATTTCAGATAAATATACCAAACAACCATAAATAATAAAACCAGTGATGATATTAGCCAAGAATTTTCAAAGTCCAGAGTCCAATTTTTTGTTTTCTTGTAGACCAATAATACTAAACAAACAGTATTGCCAAATACAAACACATAAATTGCTCAGGCCCCACGTTGGGCGCCATTTGTGACACTCTGGCCTCGGATTGCTCAGTCTGGGGTGGGTCGATGAATATTATACACAGAGTGTTTATCCTTGATCAATAATTCAATAATTCTTCATGAAGAGGGGCGCCACCTAGTTTTTAAACTTCCTGGGATCCAAACTAGGAAATGTTCCAAGGAAAAGGAAAATTTAATAATTCATATGATTTCAAAATCAGTTAAAAATCAAATTAAAGTATTTACAAATATTCTCACCTCTGCCAATAAATCCCTAAAGGTGGTCAGGAGGGAAAGAATGATCCAAGTAGATAGCTTGCAATTGCTGACACTTCTTCAAAGCTTGCTGACTCCAAAATGGCTAACTTTTAACTTTAAACCACATAAATGTCGTCAATTTAGTTCTGGAAACTTCCACACTGTTCTTGTTCATGTATAACTTCAGTCCAGTTTGCAGGTTTTCTGCTATGAACATGTTTCAAAGGGGGAAGGAGTGGGGCGGACAAAGTTCAACTCAAATCCTGAGTTATGGACTTTCCTTAGTGCCTGCAGAACTTTATTGGCAAAACCAATGTTTAAATGTAACAATTGTGGTATCCCTCATGGAAAGGAGCTCCTAAAATACCATGAATGTGTTGTATGATCATGGCCAGTGATCATGTTGGGAAACTGTGGCAATTATTAATTTAAATGGTTACATATGTATCTAGTTTAATATATTTCTGGTTTTACAACTAAGTGCCAAGCATTTATAAAAAAAAGGTTTTACAATTTACTCAAAGAATTTTTTTTGCAGTACTTTTCACAATTTTTAAATGACCCATATGAGCCAGTCTCTTCGCACTGGCTCTGTTCATGTAGACTCTTTCCTCGTAATGCTATTATTACTGGTGATTTGTATTGTATTCTCTTTGCCTTTCACATTTAAATACATTAGCTATATCTAAAGGTTAAGTTTTAGTTTTATATTTATATTTGTGTTGGCCATAGATAAATAATAACATATACAGTATTTTGTCGTATTTATCTATACTATAATAACATTGAGGCGGTGTCTGTCTGTTTGTCTGTCTGGGTAGTTGTCACGACTAACATACTAAACAAATATACCCAAAATTAACCACAAATGTGGTCCATACATCTAGGAACGACATAGGCCTATTAACTTCTTTGAGTTCCCCTCGTGGATGTCCAAAGTTTTGAGATGAGGTTTTCTTAAGTCCTAACCCACCACCATAGGATTGGATTTTCCTATTGATGGTATCCATGGCAGAATGAGAAAACTCATTATGTTTATCTTTGCTTTGACATTTTAATGAAAACAAGAAGAACTGCCAAATGTTCATTTCAGAATTTCAGACAGCTGATCTAAAGAAATGAAATATATTTTAGACAACAATCGTGGTAGGATTATTTAATTTAAAACTTTATCGTCAATGATTATACAACTGATTTTTCTTCCCGTTGCGAAGCATGGGTACAGCAGCTAGTAAGAAATAAAAACATTTCAATCATTAATCTAATATAGGTAGTTTGTAGGTCCAAGGTCGTATACGTAATAGGTATCAAATGAAGGTACAACATGTAAACTCATTGTTTGCAGTACCGGGCTCGAAGTGGAAGGTTCTTCAGCGCTAGCACTGAGGAGGCCGCGGCGGAGGGACCCGACCCAGCAGTCAAAACGAACAAGTCTTCTAAACAGAGGTGGAGTGGACTGTTCGGCAACACTAAGGTATGAAAAATATATAAACATTAATATACAGCATGGATATCCTTTGATACTAGACGTCTTTTATCTTCCTTCTCCAAAATAAACGGTAAAATGGTCTAAATCCGAGTAATTTGTATTCAAAGCGTTAAGGTATTTTCATAATCCGATTAGTTTTCAGATGAACGGTCCAATTAATTAAGTTTGTTATTGTTGGTTAACCTCTTGACGTTATACAATCAAAGACCATTGGATCCTTGAATTACTATCCTTGATAATACAATAAGTAATGAATTTTGATTTGGATTAGATGAGATACCCAACTGTATTTTATCCAAACCGAACTTACAGAACTAGATGATATCAAATAGTAACCTCTGCATTGAACAACCTAAATATTTTGGCCAAAATTGTAGTATGCTAGAGCTAGAGTTAAGTTTTTTGAAATGCTACAAAATAAGGAACAACCCAAATGAAACGAATAAAAAATATTATTTTGCCTTTAAATAATTTGGAACCAAGGACAAATTTTTAAATCTTTTACCTTTCTTTTTCAAGTACACAGTAAAATTGTCTAAATTCGATTGATGTGTATTAAAAACGTTGAGACTCAAAACTGCCTTTAAAAAATTAGAAGCTCCAAGAAGGGTTTTATATCAAAAGGAAAAGTTCTTTTCAAAATTCATAGCCGCTCTATGAAAGTCATCATTGATCTCAAGATAAAATGTGGTTAATCGTGGTGACGAAGTAGAAGTAAGAATTAAGTTAGATAATTTTAATAAATCAAATTATTTGGAGGCATTTCTTTGATTTTTTTATTCGAATTACTTTATCATACCAACAGGATACGAAAATGGAGGCACTTGTGGAGCATCTCAACAATTACAGCAAACACGGCATTCCTCAACTCCCCAACGCGGACGAGGATTTGGAAGAGGGTGAGTAACTCTTAAGTGATTTACAATCTGATGAGTGATAGCATTACCTCTACCCAGGCTATATGACATGTCCCCACCAAACAGACCACTACTGTACCTATAGCCCATCTTAGTGCATTCAGCCACTGAAAACATAAGAGTAGTATGTTTTCTGTGATTCAGCTTATTGAATCATCACTAAAAGCAACGGTTCTTAGCACAAGTTGACGTGAAATACGTTCCAACTTAATTTTACACTACCTAACCCGATAATTAGGCGTATTTTAACCTAACTGAATTCACCAAATAAATCGAAAGCACACATGCAACACTGACAAGATTATTGAAAGGAGTAATCTTTTGTTGCATAAATAACTATCTTTTTATAACTTAATGTAGTAGAGCTTCGTTAAAACTATCATAAAAGTAACTTAAATAGTATGTTTAACCTATTATAAAATCTGACTCAGTATAAGGCTGAGAAGATATTATATGTAACTTAATACTTTCTTATTAAATGGCGACCATACAAAGTGGATATTTTAAGTATGAATGGAGATGAGTGTAGAATGAGTGGCGCGAACTTGTAGTCTTGTTAGTGACTAAGGCCGACATTCCTTAGACACAGCTGTTGATTAATAGCCCATACAGCTAAAGGCAAATAGGGACCTACAGTTTATAGTGGAATCCGAACCACATTTTTGCCTTGGTATATACGAATTTGTCTAATTATCAGATGGTACTGCGGATAGTCGTAGTACTCACTCGTGCGGACGTTAATCCACACCAGGGAGTATCGCATCCACAGTGCAAGCCTATAAATATCCACAATTCGTGACCTCCTAGTAGCTGGATTACAGGACGACGCCATACGACAATTTAAGAAAGAAAATTAATTTGAATGGAAAATATGTCTGCATCTGGTCCATTGGACTGTCTCTGGTCCATTATGTCTTGTATCCTATGTCCATTATCTTACAATTCAAAAGACATTGTCCTAGGCTTATCAAATGTAACAAAACATATCGTAGATCTAATTTCACCAACAAAGTTCACCATACGTAGAATATTATTAGTCACCGTAGCATTATTTGTGTATTAGTTATAGGTAAATGTATGAGTATTGAAAGGTTTTCACAAACACTTGGAGAAAAATTAATATATTTTAAGATTAAATAAATAAACTTTTAAGAAAATAATACTGCCAAGAATTCGTTGAAGATGGGACAGATGATCGATAACGAATAAATGGTTTCGATATTCACTGAATAACCACAATGCACTGCATTTTCAGGTCCATTTGCTTCTTATGACGCAACAAAATGTCTCATTCAACTTTTTACGATACCTGGAACGTAACTGATATAATACTTTATAAATATCTTTGGGAAACATCTTATCCTTTGCAGAAATGGTTTTACTTTTACGTTCTTTTTATAAAACGTATGACTTTTCACTGTATATCAAACCAAGGAAATATACAAAAAGGTTGTATACCAATTTATTTCCTTAGTTAAATAGTGCAAAGTTTTAAAAATAAAAACATTTTGTAACCTAATGTATTTTTACAGACAATTGTAAAATTATAAAACAACTATGTAGAGTGGTACGTATATATATTTCAATAAATTAACGATCTGTTGTACAATAAATCAACTTCAGCTGTTTCCTGCCGCAGAAAATGTAGGGTGAACATGTTTAGCTATACAACTTCTGGAGTAACCTACTCCACTATGAGGCATTTGAAAATAGCTAAACACAAAAAGGGTAGTTTGTGCCTGCTACTCTAAACAATGCAATGATAGCGATGCAACGTGAAACCACCTTGTGAAGAATATCGTTGAAGACTATTATTACTGATCACTGGGGCACAATGTTATTCCACGTCAATGAGTCATACATTGCTGGTTTGGGATCGGCTAACTCAACTGCATTTTCCGACATCTGTTGCATTATGATGACATTTAATAAATGTTTTACGTTGTACTACAACAAAACCAAATTTGGACCGGCCTTCTTAAAGATATAAAAATAGTAGTAAAGTTAAAAATAATTTTTCTGATTTGAACATGTCTTTAGTGGTTTATATACTTTAACAAAAATTATATAATTATAAACTGTAAATAAAGTCCTGCTATATCAGAAATTGACATTGATTAGCATAAAGTGGAAAATTCGCGTAAAAATAAACTAAATCATTAACAGATATTACTGATTATTGTACGGTGTAATTTGTATTGATTTATTCCTTAATATTAGTTTTTCTTATTATTTACAGCCCTGTACAACCTCGAGGAGGACTGGCGGGATATTGTTGATAACGCTGCAAGTCTGCCAGAGAGAGTTCAGCAACAACAGACAGCTGTGTGGGAACTGGTCCACACAGAGGTGGCTTACATCCACACTCTCAAGGTCGTCACCGATGTGAGTACCACCCTAGTGATGTGTCGGTACCAGTACCGTTGTCTACCAAAACCGGTTCTTGGTACTCGTAACCAGTATCATCGGTACCTAACTAGACGATAGGCCTACTAATTCTTTAACAGTAGCTTGCAAACATTGCGGTTTTAATGATTGATTTTTTAAAAATATCTACCAATAAATAATTATTGGTTACAGTTTAAATTTTGTTTTACAAGTTTACATCGTTTATAGATGAGATTAAAAAAGTGCAACGCTCATTAATGTTTGATTTTAAAAATATTTTGATTAAGAGTCTGTTTAATTAAGGTACTAAAATACAAATTTGTCTACTAATGTAAAGTAAAAACGATGATATATACGAGTAGTAGCCAAACACGGGGGTGATCCCGTGACGTCATAATTAGGTAATTGGTAAGTATTTTGTGATTGTGGAGCAGCGTGAATTACGCAGCGACTCTGGCGATGTATGTTGTGGATTGGTTGGTATTGTTATTAGGTCAAGGTCATCTGAATCTGTTTTTAAAAAATATTCTGCACTAATGGATAAATAGTGCAGAATATTTTTTATTTTATTTATTCATTTATTTTTTTTACAATCAACAATAGTAATAATAATGTAAAGTAGTTAAATCTAAGTTAAATCTAAGAAGTGTTGGAATCGTTCTTCGTCGTAGAGCTGCTGCTTCCATATATGTTGAATGCTGAATGGTCGGTTTCAAATTTTCTTCGATTGGGGCATGGTGGTTTGTAAGCTCCGTAGTCTGGAAGCAGAGTGCTGTTGGCTGTTGTTGTTACTGTAACTGCATACCCACTTGCAAGTAGAACTCTCAACTCTTCAGCAAAAACATCTATATCATGGTAGGTTGAAAGTTGAACATCGTCGTACTGGACAAACTTCACCTTGAGAGACATAATTGTTGTATTGAGCTGAAGTTGCCTCTAGGAAGTCCGTAGAACGATTGAAGGCATAGGACTATCTTCTTGTATTTATAGGTAAAGTCCATCCCCCCCCCCCTCCTAGCTACCCCCACCACTAATCTTTTTAAAGGGCCTCGTATTACACCATAAATATTTTCATCACAGAAATAATAGGGGTTCTACAATAAACGCAATTGTCAACACTTAGGCCGCACATGATGCAGCTGCAAAAATGTTTGCAAGGTAAAAACACAATTTCCCTCTCTGCGGACAAACATACTATGCACTCCGATCCTTGTTTTTGCACAGGTTCGTTTGTTCCTACGCCTTTGGTTGAGCTTCTCTTTTTAACTATCACATTTTTATTTATTCGCTTGGAATATTTGTTCACAAAGTCTTGCCCCTTGTTAACAACCACAAAGGGGCATCTTGGAAACCATCGTGCATGTTCTTGCCACGGATCATCTTCTTCTTGCCAATCCTTTAATCCTCCTCCACAGTAGTAACATATAGTTTCATCATTCTTCCCAGTGTAAAAAAACCCTGCTTCGGATAATTCCCATTTGGAATTGTTTACGACAGAGTTATGTAAACTTTTTTCAAAAGAATTTAGCCTAGTTTGAAAGTGAGTATAGTTCGGAAAGGCAATTTTAATCTTCAAAATGGTTGCGGACATATTAAGAGAGTAGATGGCTCGCTGCAATCCAAATGATTAAAACCCAACTGTTAGCAACGTTTTATACGCAAAGAAGATGGGTGGGGGTTAGATAGTTTGTAATCGATTGTAAAAATGTTGTTTCTGATTTAGGTCAAGGTCATCCATATCAGTTTTTAAAAAATACCATGTTAGTATTTTAGACAAAATACTAACATGATAATTTATAATATTTTATTTATATACAATCATTTGTACAATATTCTTATTCTAACAACAGTGCAAAGAGAGTTCTGTAGAGTTGTTCCCACTAACTCCATGAGATACCAAATAGAGGGAGCCCGGTTCGATGCTGCGTAGATCCTCATTTTGTAACATGCTGACAAACCGTTTTGGAAGAAACATTTGGAACTTTGGTTCATCTCCTGGAGTAAAAGGTGCATCGCTTAAAGAGACTAGAATAGCGTCCCCAATAGATGTTTCCATTTTCTTCATTCTATGCACAATATAATGTTTTAGTTCCTTAAGTTCTGAACACTTTTTAGTAATTAAAACACTTGACTTTGAATGAGTGTTGAACTGATCAACAAGGTTCTGGAGTTGAGATGCCATCTTTATTGGTCAAGCTGTAGGTGTTTTCCTGTCCTAGGTTGGAACAATACTGATGTGTTGTCTGCACACTTTCCTCATATTTATATCCATCGATTCCCCCACTACCGCAGCTCTCCTTTTGGTTTAGGAATGATGCTATACGGTATGCATTTTTTAAAGCACATTGACCTTGACGATGACATTTGTTTTTGCCTGCAAGACAAATACCGTCATAACACACTTTAAAATTTGAGTCAATCGTTACATCAATCACGTTACCAATGGTATATTTTTGAATCCAGCTTCGTTTTTCCAAACCTTTAGTGTAAATACGGTTGAATTTCGCACAAAAGTGATACATTACATCATCTACAGTGTTGTAATCTAAAAATCCTTCATTCCATGCAATGTGATGAAAATTCCTAGTAACCCACTTATTAGTTAACTTGGCTTTAGAATTTAGTTTTTTAAAAGAATGTGGTGGTTTAAACATAAAGGGATAGACAACGTACGTTAATAAATCTAAAATTACTAACTCCTTAACAACATATTCATTTGTATTTCCACGAAAAGCTTGGAACTCAATCACACAGGGTTTCTCTTCTATTGTTTTAACTTTGTCTGAGAACCATACCCTCTGCTCCATGGTAAGAATGTCAAGTAACTGATTTCCACACCACGGTAGGTTTTATATTTATACCAGGCCGTACAGTTAAGGCGCGTTGATGTATATTTAACGTGGGCATCATCCCCAAGTAGGCCTACCCCACGAGTTTAAATTAGTTTTTTTTTTATTTCAAACTAAAACACACTTAGATTGGCTGTGTTTCTTCAATATTTTCTTTTACGTCATCCGTTGTAGTCTTATTGATCTCGTAGTCTTTTATACTCCGCCACATTTCAACCTCATAGGGGATTCGATTAAAAATTGATGTATCGATAGGTCCGTGTAGAATCTGGGAGTCAGGGTATTGATCCATAGCATCCACTAAATATTCTTTTATTACAGAGCTTGAAAATGTTAGTTGTTTCATGTATCTAGTTACAGGTGAAGCGGCACAACCCAAAACATAAAATTCTTCTCTTGTTAGTTGAATCTTAATATCGTGTTTTGATAGGTCTCTGAAACGTATTTGCTGTCCTCCACGATACTTATAAATATCTATTTCTATGTCACAATCCAATAACCGAACAGCCGTTTTTTTACCAAACATGTTTTTAGCCAAATAACATTCGATTAAGTGCAAATGTTTTATGAATGAGTCCCAAGCATGCTCCGAAAAAAACAACATTTTTGCTCCATGATTTAAAATTGCGTTAGGTGCGTATGATAGGTCCTTCACTAATCCGATTGCAATGCCTTTAGACATACATCTTGAAATGGGGTAAAATATACGGAGGAAAATATCCGTTAACATATTAAGAGGAAGGTCGTCTTCGGGGGTTTTCTTCCTCTTTAGCGCTGAGTTAGTTACAAAAACACTGTTTTCACAACTGTCCATATCATTGTTATCTTGAGTATGGAATTTTAGAAACTCTGATAATTCATCTTCACAAAGCTTAACTTTTGCGTCATATTCTTCTTCTCTAACAACCACCTCTTCTTCCACTTTGGTACTGCTTTTATCTTTGTCCGTTAAAGAATTCATGTCTACAGTATCATATGTTGCTTCAACCACTGACAAATATAAACTGAATCCTTGCTTAAGTGACTGCTATTTATACCTTGTCTTGCTGAGGCTTATAAAACCATCTTTACTATACCGGTTAAAGGTGTGTACGTTACAATTTTGTCATGAAGAATCAAACAGTACGCACTTGTATTAGAAGGTATGTTGGATTCAAACTCCATTTCTAATTTAATATCCACGCTAGAAGATTTAACGGATTCATTTTGTTTTGAACAATCAATAACCACGATAGGTGCTTTTGAACTAAATTCAGTTGGTGATAGTAATGGTGTGTTTGCCTTGCCATAATATGAAGATTGAAATCTTGCATACATGTCGTATAAAATACTATACCGCTTCTTTTCAAAAGAAACATTTAAATTGTCGTATGGAAAGAATTGAGAGTTAAGGTACAGTTTACAGTTTTTAAGTTTACAATGATCGAATAATGTTGCATCAGCAGTTATGTTACTTCTTCTGTCCGTTTGCAGTCCAACTATCACATATCTAGGTTTTTCCAAATGATTAGAAGTCTTTACAGTCCATGTATGTCTTTCTGTCTCCGGTAGAATAGGGTATTCATGCAATTCCCAGCTTCTGAATGGTAGAACGATATCACGATCAGCTTTCAACTGCCTTAAAAGTGTAATCCTGTGTTCATCTGCCAGTTTCAAGTGTGGGACTCTCCAAACTATCTTATTCAAGTATAATTTCCATTCCAGAGCTTCTTCAGTCGTTGATTGAGGTGCTATAATAAGGTCTTTGTCATTTGAAGATCGCAACAGAACCAATTCTTGTTTTACGTTTATCAATATCTTATTGTAATCCTCCGCAAAACCTAGTAACAACCTTAACGGCACAGAAAAATCAAAATTACCATTTGCATTGGGTTTTATGGAATCTGAACTGGGATTAACCCACCCAGCAACCGCTAGTAGATTTCTTGCGTTTGGTGATAATGAGCATAGTCCTTTCAGTGTACTAGATATCCCTACCCTTTTTGTAGAGTCTATGGTAACTCCTGAAATTTCATACCTTATTTCATCAAAAAGAAACGCCATCGGGTTACTAACGAAAGGAATGGTTGTTCCAATAGTGCCATCCTTTTTTGTTACTGTTCCTTCGATGTACAAACAACTCTCAGAAGGAAGGGTGTAGACATCTTG